AGACCAAAAGGAGGGAAGAAGGTGGGGACTCCTAGAACCCTAAGAAGTAAATTTTATCATTTACCTAGTAATAATCTTATTTATCCCCTTATTTTGAAATTTTAGAGGGGTAAAACACATTTTTAATAATTTTTTCTTAAATCAACTTTCAAATTCTTATTATCAATTTTAAATTAGATTTAAGTTAATTATTTAAATTTCATTCATTTATTAGATATAATTGATTCCCTAAAATAAAGGGCGTTATTTTTGCTATTAGTTAAAAATCCTAAATCCCTAAAATTATGCGTACATATTTAATTGGTTACAAGACTATCTTTGTCTACAAAATATTTTAGAATTTAACGGAAAAAATCAATTAGCCATTATTGCAATATTTCGTAAGGTTGAATATTTTTAAAACGCGTTATTAACTTTAACTATTCCTGCAATTTCCCCAATAAAATACCCATGGCCAAGTCATATACTTTATTTGATTAAACTAATATATCTATCCAACTTCCTTTTGTCCTATTAACTCTAATGGGTTAAAGTCTTTCCATGTATTTTAAGCCAAGGACATCCATTTTCAACGAGAAATTATTATGTCATATTTAGTCTTAAATATTAACCAGTACTTTGTTGGGTTTGCAAGACGTGCAAACAAAGTCCCACGTAGGTTAAGGGAAGGAATGATCCATGGTAGGTACATATAAGGACAACTATCTCCATTGGTATGAAATTTTTTGAGTGAAATCAAAAGAAAAGTCGTGAAGACTATGCCCAAAACGGACAATATCATATCATTGTGGAGATACTTGAGGAGTACGAGGGTACTATCGTCCTTAACATATTTTTCGCAAGTTCGAATAGCGAATTTCTGGATCATATATATCATTTTCTCCACACCACTCTAGAGGCATTTATTTTGATACTTTCCATATCTCTGACAACTTTTCATGCCAAAGTTGATGTTTTTATCTTGGAATACATCAACATCTCCCTCTCAAATAGTTGGAATGTACTCTGCCACAATGGCTTTTGTTCTGGTTCTTTATACATCTAGCTAGAGATAAATAATTTTGAGAGGGAAATCAAATAGAGATAAATATTTTGGCTTTTGTTCTTTGTTGTTTCTACCATCTAGCTAGAAATAAGAAAATAACAAAATAGTTACCAACCATTATATTTTTAGAAACAACAAAGCCAAAGGAGAAAAAGAAAAAGAAATGCATTCACTTGCTAAAGTCCCAAACTTGTTTCAATTATGTATAATTTTGCAATTTCAATATTTTTAATCATGTGGGGACAAACGAATTGATGATAATGTATATTATTCTCAAGGATGAGCAAAAGGTTCTTAAAAATCGATTGAACCGATATCAGTAGATCGGTTTGATAAATGGGTCGGTTGGAGTCAGTTTTTAAAAAAGATATATTATTTTTTATTGAAACCGACTGAATATGTTAAATATATTATAATAATAGTTGCCAATGTCGACTTGACATTTATGTGCTGCAGTCTGCAATGAAGTTTTGGGAAAATGCATTAATTTTTTTTTTTCATTTTAGATTTTCTCAAAATTTTCTTCACCGTCTCCTCATTTTTTTTCCCGAGTTCTTTCATATCTTTCCTTTCTCCATCTCACTTTTTTCTTCTTATTTTTTTATTTTCTTGGAAATCAATTTAGAAAAATGAAAAGATGTGGAAGAAATTGAGAACTTGGAAATTGGAACCATGACGGCGGTCATGCTTCTCCATTCTTCCGTTCTTTCTTCTTTCCTTGTTTGGATCTCTTCTTCTTTTTTATCGAGGTTTGTCTTCCTCTTCATCTTCTTCTCCGTTATTTTCTCTTTTTTTCTTCCCTATTTCTCTTCCACAACTTCTATATATATATTATTCTTTTCTTTTCTCGTCCCCACTTCTTCATCTCTAAACCGACCAAAACTGATTGACCGTAGGTATAGTCGATTGACCGGAGTTGTAGGGTCTCTTCAAACACCAACGAGCTCCGATCGATAAGAACCGATTTGTCGGTAGTCGACATCGGTTGGAGTCCTAAACCGACTTTGACCGACTGATGATCACCTCTAATATTTATTCCTATTATATGTTTAAAGAAAAATTTTATATATGTTCAAGCGATTAGAATGCTCCCCACACCATCACTCTTAAAGACCTTTGATATGAAAACCCTGGCGAATTGGAATAGGAACCCTTTGGGTATATGAACCCTAATTCACAAACACTAAAACCCCCCAAAATCAATTTAGCACAATCCAAGGAAGATCAGATGAAGGTTACCTTGTTGATCGAAGACCACGAGGCAAGGAGAACTAGTTCCCTACTCGATGTTGAACACTCCACGAGATAGGTTGATCAAACTCATCTTGAATTTTCCAAAATCCAAACACTCTTGGCCAGCTTGAAAGAAATGGCTCAAATGCTCAAATTTTCAGATCAAACTCATCTTGAATTTTCCAAAATCCAAACACTCTTGGCCAGCTTGAAAGAAATGGCTCAAATGCTCAAATTTTCATTATAACTCAACCGTCCCTTACAACCTAAATGATAAGTTTATACATGGCTTACCGATAAAAAATAACCTAGATGACATCAAATACTAAAATCCTAATTTATTTTGGTAAAAAATAAATAAAATAACTAACTAAAAATAATTAAATAAGTATTAAGGCCAATAATTGCCCAAAATAAAGAAACTAAGGTCTAATTGGCTAAGCGCGTAACTAAAATTAAAATAAACGAAATTAACAAAATCATCAAGTTTGTATCTTCAATGTAGTTTGATGGTACGCTCGCTGTTCATATCATACTCTCCTTATTTTGAAGGATTTTTCCTTGAATCTAATTTGTCACCTTGGAGAGCAAATTTGTAATCATGAGAAGTCAACGATCTAGCTTTTTTGGATCCCTTCTAAACCTTTGCACTTCGATGGATTCATTATCAAGCTTGAAGCAATATTTCTTAAGAAACATCTTCGCTTTGTACTTCTGATATGGACGGTGGCACTTCCTCCTCCTTTAGTGTTGTAATCTATCTCTTGATTTCTCCTACTCTCTTTTCACTATTTTGTATACTACTCTCAAATTCTTCTTTCTCGCTTTCTTCTTTGAGTGTGTTAGCCTTCCATTCTCTATCTCTAATTCAAAT